ATAACTAGATTTTTGGTTTTACTTTTCCTAATAATATCTAAAACAAATTGTGAAAGTGACTTACTGTGCGCTGGCCAGAAATTATTCTGGAAACATGGCTCAGCTTCAGGTGCTTCTCCTCTTTCCCCGAGAACCATATCAAAACAGATTCATCCTGTAATCAATATTTCAGTCATAAAGATACTAATGAAAGCATTCAGAGTACTATTACCCAGTCAAATATCTGAAGCAGGAAAGAACAACATAAACAAACAAGTTCAAAAAAAAGAGAGAAACTTACATTTGATAGCCGGAATGGACAGAACTTTGGCTTTCCTCTTCTTCCATACTTAAGCAGATATGCACCTTTTTTAAGGGCAGTAATCGCCTGAAATGAATCCAGCGAATAGCCTATAAATGATCAAAATGATCGTTGAAATGCTCAAAGGATATTATTATACTGACACCTTGTGTTTGACTCCTTGCAAAAAGACTTTTCCATGTGAGAGGACAAACTATACATGTAAACCATCTATTCTAATAACTATGATATTCAGGTGGCCTCTGTTTTGTTATAGAGGGACCGCAGACAAGAACTACATACAGAGTTACTGACAGGAGTAATCAAACACTAATACTGAACTACATCTAGGGAACTGCTGGTATGAGACTAAGTGTAACATGGTTGAAATTGAAGATCAGCAATTTGAAAGATATAATTCCAAACCAACTGGTGTCTCAAACTTGTCGGTAATGTAACTGTATCTAACTCCCTTTCCGCAATGTAGCCTTTCCAATGACACCTAAACTTCCCTCTTTTTCTAGTAATATTAGCAGTTCATAAAACACTCAATTTTTTTAAGCTAAGCTTAGGCATTGTTACAACAGTAAATCTTGAATTTGCGCTCAGTGTACTCTTAAATTCCATTACTATCAGAAACAAAACCACGAAGTTGCATAATATATCAAAGTGAAGTTGAGTTGAGATCGCAAACCCTTCATATAGGCCGACTCAACAAGATACCAAATGCATGGTTATATTGTCTATGAACATCAATGTTACTCATATTCTTCATCACCGAAGCAATATTGTCTGATAAAAACACTTGGTAACGAAACTACACTCGTACCCTCCTAATTTGATAATTTACATAACAAATCAGCCAAATTTGGTGTCAGACAATTTTCATAAGTTACCAAACTCATAGCTAATTTTTCCTCGGATTTACTACTAACTAACTCCTAGTTACTCATAGTCCACTTCGCGATAACAATGTCATCTAATGTCACACTTGAACACGAAAGAACAATTCGAAAATCTCTAATTGGCCTAAACACCTAACAAATTTACCGAATTCGGCTTCAGCTATTACCATACATCTCAACTCCAAGCAATCATATTATTCATGAATGATAAAACTATTCATACTTTTGATTACACCAAATGTTCATAATAAGTTCAAATCATTTCAATTTCGCCTAAAAATAGCAATTACAACTCTAACAATCAAAATTGCAAAATAATTACACATAAAAAATTCGAAAAAAAAAAATAGTAAGAAATTAAGAATTTACCTGCTCAATATCCCTTTCAACAGGACCATTGCGAGTAAGATCTGTAGTCATTTTATCCATCTCCTCAAAAATTGAAGCTCAAACCAGATTTTTCCCCCAAAACCAAACACATAAAATCCAAAGAAATTCAACTCAAACTCAACTTAAATTCATCCATTCTCAAAGTAATGAAACCCTTCCATACATCAAATTTTCAATTAAAAACTTCAATTTCAAAAAAATTTCCTCAAATCAAATTTCACTTCATCATCAAGTAATCCAGAAACTTCGGATTTCCGGCATTACTAAGAAGCTTAATTTCAGCTGAATTACACTAAGAACTAACAAAAATCACACTCAAATAAGAACAAATTCGAAATCACAAAATGCGAAAAAATAGTGGAATTTATTTTTTGAGGGGGTAATGAAAGTCAAAGGTGGATTGACTAGCGCCGGAAAAAAGAGGAGAGAGAGAGAAGAAAAGAGGAAAATGGTCAGAAATGAATCAGCGAAAAGGTAGGAGAGAGAATCTGGGAGAGTAAATGATCTGAAAATTAGTTGCAGAGTTCAGAGGAAAGAGAGAGAAAGTGATATAGAGAGAGATGAGTTTTTTTTGAGGAGAGAGAAACTTGAATGATTTACTAATTACTCTTCTTAAAAATTAGAATTTGGTAATGAAAACAATAATTATAAAGTGATAAAGAAAAAGGGAAAAAATTAAAGTTGAAAATTGCTTCATCTATATCTATTGATCTATATGCATAGGTAATACAACTGATATGTAATTAGTATATACCTCTATCTTTTTATCGGATATACCTAGAAGATCTTAGAGTGTGTTTTTTTGTACATTTGGAGAATTTAAACGAGCAAATTAAAACAAAAATACGTGGATATGCCTAGAGTTAAGTGTACCCAGGTTCATGATTTTAAAAAAATGAACATGATATGATTGTGATGGACAAAATTATCCAAATTGTGTACGTGATTAATGCATGAATAATAAGCTATGAATTACCAATTTTAATTTTGAAAAACTTTATCAGAAAAATTATTTTTTAAAAAAATACATTGTATATCTATTAACTACATTCTTTGTATATCAAACATCTACTCAATTTTATAAAATTTGCATCATCCATAAAATTATTGAATAATTTATACCAAAATCACTTACACTAAATCGAAAGATAACTTAAAATCAATCTTACAACATAAGTTTAGTTGCTCAACCAAGTTATGTATCATTTATAATTAATTTATGAAGTTAGGTTAGAAAAATTATGGCATCCAACATTTGCTTACTACAATCTATGTCATGTGCTATAGTTCGTCATGACATTATTGAGCAAGAAAATATCCAATAGCATGGATGTAATCTCAAGGCTCCCTATCAACAAGAATAATGTCCATGTGCAAAGAATAGATGGACTTTAAGGTCTTCCAAATGCTCTTGTTAAGGTCCACTTTAATGCCATACAAACTTTAGGAGTAAATTTTATCAAGAAATATGGGGACAAGTCTCAAGATTTCTTCAAACTTTTGTTACATCGAAGTGATCAAATGGTCCTACCCTTTATATTGCATTTTGCATGAATTATGTCATCAATTAATTGGGTATTTGGGTGTATAGCATCTAAACCTTAATTTTATAATTGCGTAAAGAAAACACTAAAGGATTGGATTTTGTCTAACAAATTTAAAACTTTAATTTTATAATAGCGTAAAGAAAACACTAAAGGACCTTGTCTAAAATATTAAACACATTGTTTCAAAAAAAAAAAAATTATTAAACACCTGATTTAACTTAAATACGTACAATTGTACACATTCTTTGAAGAGGAAGCTAAAGCACCACCTATGCAAGGAGGAATTGGAAAGAAAGCATTAGAGTTTACATCATCAAAACTTGCATACACAATCTACCACATTATTTTTCAATTTAAAAGTGAATCTAAATTCGCTTGTTATTAGAAAAAAAACACAAAAATTAATACATTTTATTTTTATTTTTTTGAGGAAATACAGTTCTTTTTTAAGTATACAACTAACGTTAGCAATAACCCGCTTTAAATACGATAAACAATATTCAATCCCAAAAGGAAGTGTTCTATGTGCAAAAACATTATTCAATGGTTTTACTTAAGTGGTCCTATCTAGACCAACCCTACTCTAACTAAAATTGACTATACTAGTTAGATTTGTAGTAATAAAAAGTGGAGAAACCTTTTTTTGATTAAAAACCCCATAGGTTTGCATAATGGTACTATCCAATAATTTATGAAATAGTTAGACCCAACTTTTTCATGCATCCAATCTACATTTAGAAACTTAGCAAACGTGGGGTGGCAACTTGTTAACTAGCAAGATCTCATTAGAAAAATCCCCACATAATATACATTGGGTCAGGTCTAGAATGAAGAAAATAGTGTCCTAAAGATCATAATCATTTAGTTGGATGGTACTGTTGGTTTGTTTGCTTTACAGTACAAGAATGTTAGATTTTCTCTTCATACATCTGGTTCCTAGTTCAGTCTTGGAAGTATTTCTACTAAGTACAATCGTGAGTCGTGGTTTCACTGCAAATAAACGTTGTAAGCTCAACGCAATGTGTAGATGCCGATTTAACTTAATTAGTTGATCAAAGACTATGGGTGTTATTATCTGAGATCAAATTTCATCTACATTGTTATCAGAATTTCTAACAAAGTGAGATGTATAAAGATAATCATAGAAGGGGGTATTTTGAAGCACCAAAAATAAGTATCAAAGTGGAGCTTTGGTTAAGGTCTTAGACCACCTAAGTTATTAGATTTTGTCTGTTTTAAGAATTACACTAGGGAGATACTTTCTTTGTTCTTTAATAATTTAAGTGTATCTACAACAAATTGGTTCCTACATTCTCTTTTCTACTTTTTGATCATCTTACTTCATCTCAAGGTATACCATTAGTATAATAATTTAGGAAATACATATAATAAGGATGTTAATAGTCAAAATAATACATTGAATACGTGAAAATTCAATTATTGCGGTAGATAAATAGCGGATGAAGTATCAATGCAACACTTTATTAGTTACTATTCGCAACTCTGTTTAATACAGATAAACATGCAGACATGCGTTATGCAGGCACAAATACATTAATACCATACACATACTTTTGAGCTAAAGTGAAAGCGAGTCCTCGAAAAAACATGGGTAGAGAAATTTAATTAATTATCTTAGTCTTTTCATGTATTGTGTTAAATTACATTCAAAGTCGCAATCTATTTTTACATTCAAAGTCGATTATTTTAACAGCTATCATTTTTCCCGAGTGATAAAATCTAGTTTGTTATATGGGTAAGATGGGGCACATATTATGTACTATAGCTCCTCAAAAAGATAGTGTGGATGAATGTTTTGCGGTATGTAAGCTGGTAGTGTAAGATGGTGGTATGACTGGTATCAGACTATCAGTTAGATGAACAAATTAAAAGCACCCATGAGATACATCGGAAAACAGATAGATTAATCAACACTAACAAAAGAAACCTAAGCCGTGACATAGGCAAAACAGCACGTGCAACGTAACTTGCAGGTGCATAACAAAATTAGTTTCTAAACAAGAACAAATCAGATAATTTACACAATATATGACAGGGCCAGGATTGATTGAGTGATCAATCTTAACGACAAAAGTTGATCAAGCAATCTTGCCAAAAAGGACATCGCTAAAGGAGCAGGAGGGAGGGGGGGGGGGGGGGGAAGAGAGTGACATAGGTTTGGACTTTGATGGGGGCATAGAGCAATGCTGTTCCATCTAACCAGCTGTACAACCCACCAATGTACTTTCTGAGGGTGCAAACACTTTCATCAAACCCGAACTGCGAGCTCACTTGCATTAAAATTCTTTTCGGCCAGGCCTGATCTGAAATCTTACCATGTTTGACATTACATATTCTCAGTCCATAGAGGAGCTAGTTTCTGCAGTCTCATCTTCACTGAAACTCGATGGCATTTCTATTGGTCTGCAAGGAACAAAATTCCAGTTTTGGTAAAGCAAAGGAAGAAAGTTATATCTATGTTAGTTGCTTCCATACTGTCCGCGAGTTTATAAGGTCAACTTAGTAGTAAGTAACCCTTTACAAATCTTACATAAACAGCAAATTTGCTAACATAGAAAGCAGGCAAGCAGACATGTGATGAGTGGAAAGTTCAGTTGAGAATTGGGTCTAGTAGAAACTATATCAGCTCTTTACAAATGACATAATCAATCAATCAATCAATCAATCAAAGCCTTAATCCCATAAGTGGGGTCGGCTACATGAACCAAATTTGATTATTCCGTGAAATCATCAACAAAAATCTTCCTCCTCCATCCCTTATGATCCAATGTCTCATCCTCATGCAAATCCATATACTTCATATCCTTTCTAACTCCTTCCTACCAAGTCATTTTGGGTCTCCCTCTCCATCGTCTAACCCCTCCATGGGCCCACTCTTCCACTCTTCGTACCGGTGCACCCTCAGGGTCTAATACCACAATCATTACATACCCCCTCTGTTCAAACATATTAAGGACAAGACATGATTCGATATTGTCCCCACACCCTCCACAACTCCATTACTTGTTCTAAGCAGGTTAATTTTGAAAAATACAATCATAAATTTCGTGTAGACCTTACATATTTATTATCATACATCTCAAGGTACAAAATTTTAACTTGATATTGGTACTATAACAAAACAAAAGATAAAAATAAAAAACGAACGCAATGTCATATTTAGACAAATACGCGATTGTTTTAACTCACCCTCTAATCTGTCTTGACCACTGCGGTGGCTCTTGAGATGATGGTTTGATAGCAACATAACCTTCCTGTCGCAACTCTTCTCTCCCTCTTTTGATAGCCTTAAAATGCATACAAAAAAATCACAACCATATGCAAGAAAATACTTTGTAAGAAATTAACATAGAATTTTGTTGAAGGCAAAATCTCACTCTAAGCTCATTTGGACTCATTTTCGATCTGATTGAATCATGATGATCAACTATCGGTCTTCTCTCTGCATAAAATTCTTCATCCTGCCATCCCTTAAATTATTCAAAATTCAATATAAAGCTCATCCCACTCACAGATTTTAAAGGCTAAAATATAATAAAATGAAAAAGATGCGGATCTAAACACACCTTCATTATCCTGCTAGGTGGTACTCTGTCTTCTTTATCTATGGGGTCCTTATTCCTAACTGGTGCAGCAGCAGACCTGGAATCTAATCGTTCCCTTGTACGGACAGCCACAGAATTCCCGTTGTCGTAATCATTCCACCAGGGCTCCTCTGGTTCACTGGTAAATTTTCCGCCATCAGATCCCATACCTGATGGTCCATGCTTACGCAGGATACTGTTGTTCATACTGCCATCATAATCTGAGCTTTCTCTAGCAGAGTAAGAGGCCACACAAGATGATTTATGTGCTGGAAGTACACGTCCTTGATTAGGATAAGTTGACTTCTGTTTAGGTTGGCGGTAAGAGAAACTGTCTGAGTCTGTCTTATGCAAGGATCTGTAATCAGCAGGAGCAACAAACTTGTCCTGATTTCGTATCTGTAACAATAGACATGTCAGTTTGCAGATAGTATAAGAGCAAAGAAGTAACTACATTTCAATACAAACAAAAACTTCCCAGTAAGGCAGTACCTGCCCACAGGCATACATGGAGCAAAGGAGAGGTTAAGCATTCAAAAAACATAGATGATGGGACATTAAATATCACTAGTATTAATTTCTAGGCATTTGTTACGAGTACACACTACCACATCATGGATATTCAGTTAGATGAGATATTCAATATCACTGGAATTATTTTCTAGGGGCAGAATAATACGAAGTAATTAATTTTATTTTTTTTAAAAAAAAGGGCTAGTTTGTAATTAAAGTACTTCCTTGAGCACCAACAAGGGAAGAATAAGGGGGGCGGCGGCGGGAGGGGAACAAAAGCACTGAGCTTTACTTCCTTCCCCTTGATAATTGCTTTGAATTTCAGCTAAACTAGAATGTAAATAACAGCAAAAACTTTGCATGAGAGATGTGGAAGAACATATCAATTATATACTCTTTAGCATTTCTTTCAATCTGACTTAAATAATACATAGTAGAGCGGCTTTCCTGGTGATCAGTCAACATCTTCTTCCTGCTTTTACCTTATCTCAAATTCCCAGTTCATAACAGGTGATTGTTTTCTTGTGTCCTTTAACAGCCTTACCTTATCTCAAATTTTACATGTTGCTACCCCAGATCCTCTAAGCAGAAATACTTAAAATCTTGAACCTATACATGATTATAAAAAAAATAATAATAATAATAAATAAATTTTTTTATAAAAAAAATCATAATTCCACTTACTGTGCTAAGGCTGGGTCGCTTGTGAATGGCACCAATATCAAGAGAGCTAGAGCCAACAGGTACTGAAACTCCATAAGCATCTGTAGAACGAAGCAAAAGAGCCAAGAACTTAAGAGTTGGAGATGAAATGCAATGTGATCATTCATTGGGATACATGTAATGATGAAAAATCACATAAGATCAGAAACATATCTTGGCCAAGTTAAACAAAGCAAAATACAACATTCAAGAAAATTTGTCCAGAAATAGTGTCCCAGGGTACTACAACTACAATGAACATAAGAAAGTGTTTGGACCCTCAACAAATAAATCCCACCAAAGCACTACATATTAAAGCGGAACAACTTTTTCTTATACCACATACCATGAATTACTCATACAATCATCAAGGATAAAATCACCTCAACTTTGACAGGAAGTCAAAGTCAGGACTTCACTCTCTTAAGTTTTAAGTAAAAAAACAAGATCAAAATTCCAAATTCTTTTGCATTGTAACATTTAAGTTCACTAAAAGACATGATAAAAGACCATATGATGAGGAGAACAAACTTACCAGAATTAGCATTCTTGCTTGGTGATTCAAACGCACCTGGAGGAAGTGGATCAAATTCAATTCCAAGGGGAGGACCATCCTCTTGATATTGCCTTCCTAGTTGTCTCTTGACTGCAGTTACAGCAGCATTTTCCGTCTGACCCTTGATTTTCAAGTATCCTGAGGGTCCCACACGCCTCTTATTTTGAGCTATAAGTCCATTTGGTACCCGATATTCTGTTGTTTCGACCTCCAAAGAACTCCTTTTATGGGGGTAAAAGCTACCCTGCAGAGCTGAATTACTTTCTGAAGATGTATCATCCATCTCAATTCCATCATCAAGCACCCTTTGTTCATAGTTTATCTCGGCAGCAGGAAAATCATTGTTACCAAACCTCCGACTCTCGACCTCCCTCAAATCAGCAAGCCTATAATCACCTTGTTTGGTGCTACTGCATGAATCCTGTTTTAGCCCACTACCACGATCTTGTATAACACCACTTGAAAGTTCCTGTCTGCCAGGTGGGTTTAGCTCACCATTTATGATTCTCTTATCCTTCAATCTGCGGTGGCAAAACCATCCAGAAATCTGCTTCTCAGTCAGACCTATATTCTCTGCAAGCTCTGCCTTCATGGACTCAGTTGGGTACTTATGTTCTGGATAAAGAATCACAAAAAGCAAAAGAAAAAGACATCAATCATTTGCACTACAATGATAAGAGTTTTAATTTTGGGAAGTTCAAAAGACAAGAAGAATTTAAACCATTATAAAAATCCTCCAAAGCTTGAAGCTGGTACGGTGTCTTGAACCGCCTTTTCTTGTTCTTCTCCGGAAGTGCTTTATTTTCTTCACATTGTACTTCGTTAGAATCTGAAACATTGAACAACATAATAATTAACAAGCTAAACAATAATCCTTTTCCACGAGATGGAAACCATGGGAAGGTTAGTGAATTTTTTTTTTAGTATAGACCAAAAGCACTCCCATTCCAATCTAAATAGTGCTTAATACATCTTTAACCAAAATGATACCAAAGTAAAAGCATTAAAACAAATAAGCAAGATTTCAAGGAGAGTAATTTATGATGATTTTGGTGGCATAGCCAGGTTTCAGTTTTACATGACACGAGTATCAAAGATGATATTGCTCATTAAGATAATCATAACTTGCAAAAGTTTTGAATCTCTAGTCTATACTATACATCCAAAAGACACCAACCAAGACATCGCAGGAATATGACTAAATTTTAATTGGAAAATCAGTAACAAGGTGTAACAACATCATCCAAACTCTAACTATTAAACTGATTATGGCACTTTTTATCAGCAAACTCCGCAGTTTCAGATCCTATCTGTGAGACGACAGTAGAGATGAAAACAGCAGTATGTACTCATAAAAGTGCCTTTATCATGCGAAATTATCTCAAGAATCATCTAATTGGGATACAACACATCACGTTGATCTCCAACACTTGTTATCTCATCTTATAAACACTAGTTTCAATGACAAACCCACAATATAATACGCAATTATGGAGCAAATCTAACAAGCTCGTTAGGGATATAAAGAGAACAAATAAAACACAATGTAGGTTCACTCCAATGTGTAGATCGAAATCGGAACAAACACGGCGATAGTCACCCATAAGCTTTCACATGATTTGCCCTTCCGTTAAAGGTATCACTCCTTGAACAACAAGCAATTTATTACACACAAAATGGGTTTTTTTTCATCCAACACCAAAAAGGTGATACCAATTGAAAATTCATAGATTTCCAGTTGACAAACAAAATAATCAGTAAACATGCCATCAACATACACATAATAATACGATTAATTTAGCAGTTTGAACAACAAAAATTTAGCAGTTCATACAAAATATCAGCATAAAAATAAGCAATATAAACTGGCTTCCCTAAACATAAGAAACCCCCAATTCCCAACAAATTTAAACAAATAAAACATCAAGATTACATGAAAAACATGCAAACCCAGATCAAAAACAATTATTTTACACAAATTAAACTCAGAAAATTGTATGAAAACTCCTTAAAATTTCCTCCAAATTGACTAAACAGGATAAAATGCTGTAATAAAAATCAAAAAATCCAAATTTTAACGATCTAGGGTGGACATATAAAATTCCCATTACCTTCCATGTAGTGTATACAACTCCAAAATCCAATCAAAGTTTTTGGGTCAATAAAAATTTCCAATCTTTTTTTGTTCAAAAGTTTTTTGTGGTTTTAATGGGGTCTTCGAATCTGGAATCCTAAATCAAGAGAAAAATAGAGGAGAGAGAAAGAGAGAAGAGGGGTCTTTGAGGACAAGGCAGAGATAAAATAGCATCTTCTGAGTTTCCCATCAATTTATGCAATTAGTAGTATTTTTTCTTTTCCAGAAAATTGATTTCTGATCTCGGATTTTGTTGTTTTAATCCAAATTATGTTGCGACCCTTCACTGTTCGTGTTTGTGTTATTCATTAATTTTTTTTTTTATTTTTTTTTTTACATTGGAGACTTGGAGTCCTACTCTTGCCCCGAGTCGATTGAACTTGTACACCACAAGGGGTGGGCTTAAAAATCCGATTTGCGATCCGACTGATCCGACCCAAAAAGGCGGATACTATACCCAATCCGATTTTTTAAATTTTGGATTGGATATCCGAAAATTTTGATGACGGATTCGGATCACGAATCATGAAAAATTAGATGTCTAATCTGATTTGATTTTACTTTTTTTTTTTAATATTTTTTGTATTTTTTTTTTGTATTCCAATTATTATTTATTTTAACCCTCCATTATTTGATTTTAACCCTTCACTATTTGATTTTTAACCCTCTAAATTAAGTTTTTTATAAAAAAAAAAAAAAAAAAAAAAAGTGGATGAGAAAACACACATAACCAGCCCATAAATTGATCAAAAGTGCGAGGACCAAAACCCAATCAAAATACCTCAAAAATGTTTGGAAATTTGTATGATGCTAGCCCTAGATGTCTACAAGACTCGACCAAAATATCAGCCAAAAATTCCAAGCTAAATGGTCGCAAATTTTTTTTTCCCTCAACACTGGCAGATTAGTTTAATTTTTGACCAGTTGCCAAAAACGAACCTTGTTTAATAGCTACGCTACTTCATATATTCTCATATTTTGCAAGTAAAAAATAGACAAAAAAATTAACCAATTTAGAAAAAAGAATCACCTCAAAAGCTTTAGAAACGAAGGAGAATGATGTCGATCAATCAGAGCTTCGAAACTAAGTTTTTTGATAAGATTTGTCAAATTCACCCCTCATCAAACAGCAACTACCCCAATTTGATATGGATTTTAATGGATATAACCTTCAATCTTGGTTGAAAGGTTTGGAATCTTGAGTTTTGGTCCTGAAACGCAAAGCTACACGAGCATAAAATCTAAACTATGCCAAGAATACACAAGCACAAGCTTACGTAAAACTTTACTCCCTGAGTTTCATAATAATTACAACACTTTTCTTTTTCATTCATTTCATAATAAATACAACACTTCCTTCTTTCCCTTTTTTTTTTTTTTTTTTTTTTTTGTAAGGACCCACAATTTTTTATTATTTCTCTCCTAAAGATATCTAAAATTTGAACAAATTTTTATAATAGGTGGTAAAAGCTTTAGTTATATTGTCTTGAAGGGTAATCCAGTTGTTTTCCTCATTTTTTATACCTTTTGATTTAATTTATCCCTTTCCATGTTTTTACACATTTGATGAAGTAGCTCGTGCATCAATCTATCACATACTGAGTTTTGCTCTCTATTTCAAGTAAAAATGCTAATTGTGCATCTCTTCAAGCACTTCTTCCTTGTTTCTTTATCTGCCCATGCCTCTTCACAACTTTTGAGATTATTCTGGCTTCCTTGAACCTGTTTTGAAAGAATAGGATAGTAACTTGTATCTTTCTTTGGACTTTATGCATGCTCAAGCCATTTACTGGCTTATTCCATTCCTGCTTGACTATGTTATTGGCTTCTCCCATATTTAGACACCATTCTTCGAGCTATAAGGTCTTCTTTTCTTGCGGAGGGAATGACTAGTGTGCAAAACTATGCGAGCATGATCTGAGATATGAATCTCATGATTTTATATGAAAGATCAGGAAATTTACATTGGATGTTCCTGGATTTTATATCTTAATGTCATATTATCAATGCAGGGAAGTCAAGGCCATGGCTGCAATGTCTCACCCTAATATTGTCCGCTATTACTCAGCTTGGGTTGAGAGGAAAATAGCTGGTAACTTTTGAAGCTAGAGAGGAAAAGAAAATAGCTGGTAACTTTTGAAGCTGGAGAGGAAAAGGGGTCATATCAGGAACCTAAATGCATAGATGATCCACTTTTGTACATTCAACCATAGCTATGTTCAGGGGCGGATTTAAGTTCAAAGCAATGGGGTCAATTGACCCCACTTATTTTTAACTAAAAATTATTTTTGAAAATATTTATAAAATGAAGAAATAATGATTTATTTAACATTAAATTAATTAATATGAAAATTTAAAGTAATGTATCAATACACATTGAGTTAACTATGTGCAATATAATATTTACGTAGTTACACGTAATTTGTTATTTTATAAATAATTTTAATATTATTTGTTTTAATTAATTTTATTTCAACAATAATACCGATGAATTACACATAAACTTAAATTCAGTATATACATTATATAAATATATTAGAGTTGCCGTATTAATCATATGAATATATACATATATATAAAAAAAAAAAAACATATATATATATATATGTTTTTTTTTTATTTATTCATATGATTAATACGGCAACTCTACTATATTTATATAATGTGTGTGTGTGTGTATATATATATATATATATATATAAAAGTAATGATTTACAAAATAAAATTGTACTCATAATTATTTTTATAGCAAAATAAATGGTTGTTTCTCACTAAATTATTTCTCCATGCCATGATGACAACAAGGAGAAGATGAATTTCATATGTTGGTTAACTCATTCTGATCTATATTTTAGATCTATCATTCATATGAAGCATAACGCTTTTGTCGTCAAATGGGAACACTCAGCTTTTGATCGAGATTTTGAGAAATTGAAACTATAACTTCTTTTTTGTCAAAGTGACACCACTGTTGCCCCTTGTTCGTTGTGTAATAGGTTATTGGGATACTGTTGTGGGATGTTCTTCCAATACATAGGTTCAGCAATGTTGTCGGGGATGAGGAAGATGTGCCTAAGTATATTAACGGAAGTTTTGATTCAAATGCAGGATCGGAGTTGAGAATCCATTTCAAGGAAGAGAGATTCATAAGGAAGCCATATTTGCTTCAACCTGTCATATGGATCCTTAAATTGAAAATTTTGAGAGAAGCTATAGCTATGCTAGAATTTTTTTGTATAGAGCATTATTTCAGCACTCAAAAGTCAAAACTCATGAGCAACTAGTTAGTGTGCAAAATGGTTTTGTACAAAGGTTTAATATACTTGATTTTTTGTAAGAATTAGAGCCCTCATATCAAGTGCCAACATGAGGTGTGTAACCGCTAACAGGAAGGCCAAATGAATATTTTCATTGCCCACAAGCAAAACATCTATGTAGTTTGCTGTCGTTGATTAGCTGAAACTCTGCCCAACTTCCTTGCTTCTTGGCGTTTTGACAAGCTTCTATAGATTTGACTAGGGCTATTACCACACCCCACAACCCCTTCCACACACAGCCTAACTAAGGTTGATATCTAACACGGTCTAGCAGATGTGAAGTCCAACGTTATAGCACTCGTTGAGTTTACCTTATTGATCAAACTACACATCGAGCATTGCCATGTCTCTTGACTTTTCTATCTTCCATTGGGGAGTTAGGGTGCCTGAGATCGCACATTTGAAGTTTGGATGTCGTCAGTCCCGTAACAAGTCTTCGGTAAGACCTCAACTATAAGTAGATTCTCTTTAACTATTGTGTTTTTTAATTTTATTAGTATATATTTTTGCCTAGCTATTAATGGTCTCACCAAAGACCATCTTATATAAGTTTTTGTATGAGTAAGTGTTGAAATATGCCTTAATCGGGTTTAGGAGTAGCGAGCTATAGCTCGTGAGGTAACTCAATAGTTTTGAAAGCATATGGAGTTGCGACGGAATTGGAACTATAGCTCCTAGGCGAGTGAGCTATAGCTCACAAAGATAGTTTGGTTCGAGCTATGCCAAATATGCAAAATAGTTATGGTTTTTATTGTAAAAGTTATATTATTTTCTATAAATTTGTGGTTTACAGATTTATTATATTATTGAAGATGCCGTATAATTATTAATTAATGATATTTTCTTCTTCCCGTCGGGAAAAAAAAATGTTATAGAACGAAAGTGCATGTGAAGGGTATGTCAAATTCTAACTAATAGTTTCATAGTACAAGCCTATAAGGTCGTAACTCGCAGAACAAGGGTGTAAGGAGGAATAAGCAAGTGTTTATGGATTTTTTTTATTTTTTTATTTTATTTGTTTGTTGTGTTAAGAGAGCCACAAGGACAGACAATGAGAATCGATCCCAAGATCTCTTAAACCAAGAGGGAATCTTTAATTATCTGAGCTACCTCATTCTCATGTGTCCAAGAAATTATGGTAATACGTAAAGCATCTTAACTAACATTTTAAGTAGATCTTTTTCATTGAATTTGATCACAATTTCTTACCCCACATACTCTATCCGTCGATATTACAGAACCTAGATGGGATACTCCGTAAAGACAACTCAACTTTTGTATCAGTTCCCCTAACAACAAGCGCTTGATTCGTGCACACTCCAAACATTTGAGTGCCACGGAGGGTGGTCTTGTTTCAGGAATATACCATCAGCGTTACACGCAGCCCGGGGACAGGGAAGGAGGGATATGAGGATCAAACATTCAAACACCTGATCTCGGGTGCAGTAGGTTGAAAAGCTTACCAATCCTCCAACCCCTCATCCTCATTTATGCGTTTACCTTCGCCTACAAATAAGCAATTCAAAGTTTCTAGAGAGTAATATATAATATGTTAGATTTGAAAAGCAGCAAAATCAGTTAAAAAAAAAGAGCTCCGTTTCCTATTATGGGGCTGCTGATAATGATATTATCCACAATTCCATCAAAATCTTTTACAAGGGTACTGTGTGAAGGTGCATAAGTTAGAAAAGGCCCCGAGAGTTTGAGAAATTCCAGCCCCTAATGAAACATAATTCAGGAGCTGCAATGTAACTGTTTCTTCGTCTAGACTCTTCTATTCCTCTTTCTTACTAGATGCAGAGTTGCTGTCATCTTTAGATGACGTATCCTCGGCCAACTTTGACTCGTCAAATTCCATCAACTGAACATATGCAAAGCAGAAAAATCAGAGAAAGCAGGAAGTGAAACAGATACAAAATTGAGCCCTGGGAATTAAAACAGGAGTCACAAACCGGTTTAATATCACCGTTCCACGTCACGTGTACAGCCAAAAATCCAATGACAGCTGGTACAATGTAAAGAAGTGCAGGCTGAAAGGAAAATTAAGATTATTAGAAAATTTAATATAATGCCTAATCTAGCTAATTCTGCTTTGAAATACACAAGAAAGATTGGGAAAATAAGTCCACAAGGAATCGGTAGGAAAAGGAAACAGTTGCGATGGCAAGGAAGAAGAAAGATGCACCTGTGCAGCTTGAAACCAATTCATCACAACAATTGTAAGGATCATGCCAGCTGCATACCCGACAAAAGCACTTTTGAAGTAT